TTTCATCTTCGACAGAAAGATATTTACGAGGCATCTATTTTATATAAACAAATGACTGAGAAAGGCATAGAAAATGATAGTTATTTATTTGCTGCCTTAATTTATCTGCGCGGAATACTTGATGATTCGGAAGGTGCCAGGAAAACATACGACAAAATGAAAGCAGCTGGAGTTATTCCCAACACTATATTATTTAATCAGCTCATATATTCTCACGCTCGTGACAAGAAAGTAAATGCATCGCAGATCGAAGCTTTGTATCTCGAAATGTTGGCAGAAAAATTAGAGCCAAATCATTATACATTTGAACTACTTATTGATGCGATGTCCAAAAGACATGCATTTGCAAAGATATGCGGAGTTTTTAATGAAATGTCCCAAAGAAATATCCCTATAACAAATGTAGCTTACAATTCTCCAATTCGTCATCATGGATTAGCAGGAAACACAGAACTTGCCTGGAAATTTTTCAACCGAATGATATCTGCTGGAATAGAACCATCTATGTATATTTATACTTCTATAATATCCCTTGCTACTGCATCGTCCGATTTTGCAATAGCTATTAAAGCTTTTAAAGACCTCTTAACACGTGGTCTCAAACCCAATGTTCATGTTTATTCAGCCTTGATCACTGCATTGGTAAAATCGGGGAATACAGAAAAAGCAATTGAAATGCTTCATCATATGGTTAACCATGGTGTATCGCCTAACCACATAACTTTTACATCATTAATTCAAGGGTTTGCAATTAAGCGTAATTATGAGAAAGGTAAAGAAATGTATGAAATGATGAAAAAATCAAATATTATTCCAGATAGATTCACATTTTATCATTTGGAGAAATTGTACAAAACGACTGGACACATTGAGGATATTAAAGAGTTGTATGAAGATATTAAAAGATACGGTATAGATCCTCAATCTCGTGATCGCATCCTGATAAAAGGGAAAGGCTCGTATTATTGGAGATCAAGGATCTTGATAAAACGAAGAATTGAACGACAAAAAGCAAACACTGATCCTGAAGAGCAATATGCTATCAAAAAGCGGCAGCGTAAAATATGGAAAAGACGCAATCTAATACGAGAAGCAGCATTGCAAAGATTATATTCTAAACTTCAAAGTAGTCAAAATTTAGAACCATATCCAATATGGAAAAAAATATATATTCAAGAAAATTATGAAGATTTGCAACGATATAAAAAATCTGGATCATTTCCATTTTAATATAACAATTCTCATTTGAGATTTTCATTAGAGGATAATTGGTGATTTATTTTAGGTCATTTATTTGAATATACTAAAGTTTTGTGAACCGTAAGTTCACTTAGCAATTTATTTGATTTAGAGTCATTAAAAATTAGGATTATGAAACATGAATTTTATTTTAAAATCTGATTTAGGCAGGAAGAATCTTCGGTATGGGAAAAATCGAAGTTTTGCTCGGAAGATAGTGGTACTAGATTAATCCTTTTTTTTTTTTTTATATAATTTATTATCAGAATCTCATAGAAACTCTCATAAAATGATAATGAATGTTCAGAGGACTGTGCGTGAAATTGAGTTAAAAAAGCAAATATATTTACAATTTAATTTTTCTAATTTTTTAGATAGCAAATAGAGAGATATAAATTACCTGAATATAACGTGGCATGTACACGAGTCTTTATTCATAGCAGCATTTCAAAATATAGTGCAATATAGTGCAAAATAGTATCATTACAAGAAAATGCCCATCATAGATTGTAATTGTTTTAATTAATCAATTTATAGATACGTCTTTCGTTCTGCACTTTATAGCTTTCTAGATCAATTATCGTTGTTTAATACATGTAAGATCTAACGGTTAAATAATTTATAATTTAATTTGGATTCATAAAATTAGTAACATTCGAAGTATTTAAAGATGGTTTAAACACTTTAGAGAATTTCAAACTCTAATACACTTAAAATTCGTAATTTTTATAAAGTTTTAAGCTTCTTTAATTAAAGTTTCTTTACCTGGACTTAAAAGCTGCCCAATGCAAAAGTTTTTGCTTCGATCGAACACCGATTATACCAATCTTAAAAATATTACTCAAGAAGCAGGCTTTTATGTTTTAACAAAAAAGTTTTTTGCAAGATTTAGTCTAATCGCATTACTCATCTGCTTGCTTATTTAAATAATTTAAAAGGCGAGAACAAAGCTTTTGTGAAAGATTATTTTTTTTAGACGCAAAATTTGTAGAAGTCCTCTTTGTATTTCAATAGACTTCGCATATTTATTTAAGTTAAAGCAAGTTATAATCCAAAAATTTGTTTGAATTAGTCTTATGTAGAAATTATAATTTAAGTATGTTAATAGCACTTATATTATTAAAAAATAATACTCACTATCATAAATGATTGGGTTTATATGTTTAACTTCAATTTTTTTGTCTCGACAAGAGAGCTACTTCGTAAGAGATAAGTCTTTTTTTTTTATTTACTTTATTTTATTTTAATTAACTATTCTATCTTATTTTTTGACAAACTTCATATTTAGCTGATCCTAATGGCATAGTTTCATCTCGTCAGTAAATGTTCTACTTACATTATAAATAAATATTTATCAGCTATTGTGAATTCGCAATCATAAGTTCATAGTCAAGAAATTTTTTTTATGAAAAAAATTTGTTTTAGTAGAATAATAATCTTGGAATTGCATTTTATGAATATTTGCAAATTATGATTCTCTAATAATCTATTGAATTTAATTTGCGTAGCTAATATAACCAATAAAGCTCTCTATCCTTTGGGAGGAACAAATAATACAATCAAAGTTATATGAAGTCTATTGCACAGAACCTCAGTGATACTTGCTTAAAGAATTTCGCTAAGAAAAGTTTGCTGGTATATTAGGTTTAGGTTTAGGTTTCGCTATTGGTTAGGTTGGAAGAGCTGTAATTATATTTTGTTAGAATCGTTTTTATTACATCTCGAATTGAAATTTTCAAAATATACAACACTGCGTTTCCAAAAGCAGCATTTTTTATTTTCAGAGTAATTATTTACAAATCTATTTATGCAAGTTTTTATAATTTTGTTGTTAAATACATGCTTTAATGTATAGTACTTTTTTTGTTTTCAATACAAATTGACAAAAACTAATTCTAATGTAAAATGTAATAAATTATTATAAAATATAATTTTTTAAAAAAAATATGTATACATTTAGGCAAATCCGGAAAAATCACTCTTTAAAGATATGCTGGGTCCTTTATTTAATTCAATCCTTTCGTTATACCTCCTGTCTCTTTCTTCTTGTAGCCTTTGTTGTTGTTGTTGCTGCTGCAAAACATTAAATCGAACTGCTGCTTCCAATTTAGCCTTAGGTTCAGGTAACAGTACTGCTACTGCATCCCTGAAATTTTGAGGTTGCAGTCCTGCAAGTGATAGAATATGCCTAATAGACAATGTGTGTAGTGGCGGAAGTGTGTGTGGAGAAAGGTTTTCTTCTGAAGAGGACATATATTTCTCTAGCGGTGGATCAGCCAACAATTGAATCAACGTAGGAAGTGTGACTGCCATCAGAACCGTTTCTGCATTTGAGAATATGAAAAAAATAAATTAGTATTGACTTTATAAAAAGCAGTGATGGTAAATGACTTGAAACGATCCAAATGACCCAAATGACAAACGACCAGTCATTGGGTCATTTCGAGACCCAAATGACTTAGAAGGTCATTTAACATATGGGGTCTTTACCTTGAAAATGACCTTACAGTACATGATATCGTAAGGTCATTTTCAAGGCAAAGACCCCATATATTCTATTGCCCTTTAGCCAATCAGAATTTGCTGCCAAACAAAATTAAAATATAATCGATAGTCGTAGCTATATATTAAAGTCAAAAATTTTACTAAGTCAATTAATATTTATATCTTAAATAAAGTTGTTCGAAATAATAAATTGCATATATTCTGAAATCTTCATGTAAACTGAAGAGCTTTTATTAATTCACTTCCACACTTTACATTTATACGAAAGTTAATAAAAAGGTTTTCATTTATAAATATTAATTGACTTAGTAAAACTTTGACTTTAATACGTACGTATATAGCTACGTTTATCGATTAGGACTGTAATAAAGTTTGATAACTTTTTATGAGCAATTCGACCAATAAAATTATTTTATATGCAAATGACCTACGTAAATGAGCTTAATGATCTTGTCATTATTTGATGATTTGGGTCATTTAAATTTCGATCAAACGACCGGATCATTTACCATTCTCGGGTTGGGTCGGGCATATAAATTTTTATTGAGCTTAAGTATACAAATACCTAGCCTAACCCAGCCTATTTCAAAACCTGTAGACTAAATGACCCCGGTCATTTCTAAATGACCATGGTCATTTGGTCACGAGTCATTTCCAAATGACCCAAAATTGAGATGA